AACACATGCTTGCTAGTGATTTCTCATGATGTAATTCACCTGTTGGAACTTTTCCAGTTTGCAAGCTTGCTGCTCCCAAGGAAACTGTAAACAAAGAGAATTGTTCTTCATTTTGTCAAAATTGGGATGCTTACTGGCCACAACAAAATAAAACTCTCGCCACAATAATGGTAGATGAACTGACATTGGGGCTGGTTTTCCATTAGCCTGCAACGTAATTAAAGACCATTAGAAAAGAATCCTTCAAAACTTGCAAATACACAACACATCATCCTGATAATCATCTACCCCATTCACACCAAAGCTTAACCATGTTTTAAAACTGTTCTGTCAAATGCAATTGAGTTGTTTTCTTCATAGAAGCTGCACAAACCTATCTTTGTTGACTTCAAATGTAGCACATTGAAAATAATAGTTTGTGATTACTAACAACTAATGAAAAATTCACTTTTTCAGCTCTTTGGGTCTGATTTTTATTATACCTAGTTTCACTTAACATGTTTTGCTGGTGTGAATGGGGTATTATATAGACCTTCATAGGTCTCTACCAATGATAGAGTGACTCTCAAATTGCATCTGTTGATACATGTTCAGCATAAGAGAAAACTAAAATATGGCCACAATTCAAAAGCAACAACATGTCAAGAGCAAGTGATTTGTAGTTATAAGCACTAGATGGGTGTAATTGCTGCAGAGCTCACTGATTGTCTATAAACATCACAAAACATTTATCAATGATATTTGAAGATCACCACAACTTTTGCAAAACAATTTTACCAAAAAATCAATTACAAACCTCTCTGTAGACTTGGTTCATTCTGTGAAAAAGTTGTCTCACTGACAGACAACCAAATCTCAAGTATGGACTCAACTTTGAGGACTTGGGAAATGGAGAATTGGACTCTTGCTGTGGTTTGCCCAATTTTGGTTCTGCTACCTGTTCACAATGCAAACAAACAAAATTGTAGTAGTCACATGCACATGACAAAAAATGGATGTGAAAGTCATGACTGCTTCTTTGCAAGGGATTGAAAAGAGGAATGAAACTTGGTCACCCCACAGGTAAAAGAACAGGTTGCTAACCTTAGATTTAAATTGGCAGCATTTCTCCTAGAGTTTTAAATGGAATTTAAGGAAAATTTCCTAAGTAGAAGTTAATCTCTGGATTCCTAAAGCCTGCCAAGTGTCAGAATTTAGTATTAACTTTAAAGGCCAGTGAGAGGAAATGCACAGTTTCTACAACAAATATCTCCTTCAAGAAAACATTCAGCCAAAATAAATCTTTACCAACCTCTTTTTCAAGAACAGCAAGTCTTCTCAAAGCTTCTGTCTCTCCTCCTGCAAACTGTCCAGGTTCAGCTTCTTCCTCAACAAAATCAAGGGCATCATATTCTGGTACACCATAGTTGTTTTCGTCATTATCCTCCACTGGTGTCTTACAGTTTTTTAACAACTGCTCATCGACAACTGGTACACAGTTGCTTGGACTTTTCAACTTACTTACTAGGCATTCAAACTGCTTGAAAGTAACTGGAACATTCCCATGATTTGACTTGATGACTCTATAATGAAGAATAGAAATGTGATACATTTCATGCAGGGGAGAGCAGAAGTGGCTTACAATTAAGCTCTATAAAGACATGAACACTCATCAATCTTTCTGCCCTATAATGCAACCCTTCTCCTAACAACTGGTATTCAAATTTCACACAACTTAACACTAAGCACATTTCCTATTCATTGCACAAGAGTCACAGCCTGTCCCTGTTTTGTACAGGCCCATATGATGATGTTAAATTCTACCACATGCAAACATCCTGCTGATTGCTGCTCCTAGACATGCAAGACTTCATTTACACTTCAATTTGTGGCCTTCTAAACAATTTAGTATTCAACTATCATACATAATGTGAAATGTGAGAACCATTTCATACTAGCTAGTCTCTTACTTCTTAAGCAGGGAGGATGTATAGTGGGAGAAGCGGGGGCAGAAGGGGAGGGGGTCAATCCCATAGTTAATTTCTGTTGATATAACTTGAGCTCCCCTTGAGGACCAGAACAGGTTGTCATCAGCATCCTCCTGTGAAAGAGAACTGTTGCGCATACAAATACCATCCCACCTATGGGGCACTAACTCTCTCCCCTACCTGTACCTTTAATCAGCCCCTGACCCCACCACCTGTGCCTCTGATCAGCCCTTTACCCCACCAGAAGTACCTCTGATCAGCCCTTCGACTAGGTGCTTCTTTGCAAAAAGAAACTTGTTCAGTAGCATCCCAAGGATTAATAAACTACGTAATGTTCCTTGTAATTTCTAACTAACTATATATTTTGGCTTTGTGGCATTTCTCTTCGTCTTGAATGTTTGAGTGATAATTGCATAACTAAAGCTAAGGTCCACAAACCTAGACTCTTATGTAACAAGGCTCAAACGACTCAAGCGCGTGTGACACATGACTGGTCATAGTACCTTGTCTTCCACCCAGAAGAAAAGAAATATAACGCTACCGAAGAGCCTCAAGGTTAAGATCGCATTAAAATGAAATAAACAAATTAAATGAACACTTACTCGTCAATGTCGTACAGCGTATGAGAGACTGACGTCAACACTTCAACTCCTTCTGATTCCAATAAGCGCTTTATCGAATCGTCCCTTCTCCGTGGGAATGGTTCACTGTCATATTCATACGTTACTCTAGTAATATTCCACTGTCTAATTAGCTTCGGAAAGACATCGATCGGCTGACCTCGAACGATAAAGAGACGCGAGTTCAGTCTTCTCAGACTTTTATCGAGGTCGTGTAAGCATTCTAAAAGGAATCGCCACTTGTTTTTCGATAGGTTGATCTCATCCAAGGAGTCCACATCGAGGAAAAATACTGCTCTGAAAGTGGAACTACCCTCTATTGCCTGCCGCAGGGACGGATTATCGTGCAACCTGAGTCCCTTTCTAAACCAATGAAGAGAGTTTATATTCGAAGTCATTGCTTACGATTTTCGACGAGCAATGAAGATGAAACTGCGATGCTTTCGTTTTGGAAATACTTCTGTGACGACGGCACCTACATGACATCGACAGCTACCACACAAACTAGACAATGTAAGGAGAAAAACGGAAAATTCAGACCACCATCGAGACTATTACACCTCCCCTAAACAACGTGCAGACAAACGTGACACTATTGAATGTTGATCAAACGTCTGTTGTGATTGGCCTATGGCTATGTTCAATAGAATGCTGGCCACCATTGGCTAGCATCTTTCTTGCGTAATGAAGTCTAGTACTGCCGACACGAGTCATCACACGTGAAATTATGTCGGACATGGGTTCCGGAAAGTGGTGCGACCAAACAACGTGTAACGAACCCAAGAAATGGAAAAAATCGAGTTAAGATTAGAATTTTCTCCTTCATTTCATTAGAATTTTCTCTTTCATTTCAAACTAAAAGTAACGTGAAATTTTTAACTATTTCTGATTAGATTGGACCATATTAAGGATGCAATGAATGAATGCCCGGCGGTCGGGCTCCGTCACGAGTAAATGGCCTTAACGCCGGAAGTCAGAATTTTCAAAGAATATTACCAAAGGTTCTATGAAACTTCCTTAGACTACCACATGGTTCATTAAATGCCAAGTGATTCCAAAAATTTTTTTAGGTTTTCTAGTTAACTATATATCCGCACCTAGACATTCCGTAAGTCGCCGTGCTTTCTCAACACCATTCGCTCTGATGAAGGGCTAACGCTCGAAACGTCAGCTATAAAACTCTTTACGGTGGACAATTTACGCTATTAACTCAGTTGATAATACTTAATTACCCTGTGATACTCTCCCACCGACGCAGCGCCACAGTTTCCTTAGAAATTTACCCCCTTTAATCGCTTGAGCATACCGTAGTAGCAAACAGCAAACTGAACCTAGAAGTATGAATAATGAAACAAAATAGGAGAGGTGAATGAAATAAATTAATAGTGGCGAATAACTGATGTTCGATCAACGAGGACCGATTGTGCCGTATGAACATAATTTCGTCAATAACTAAACAACTGAGAGAGTGTCTCCACGCGTACACCGAGACAAGTTGTGAAGTTCGCCTTCTGAGCGGCATGTGCATCGACTGATAGGAGCGCTTACCATTTAAAAAAGCACTTGGCAAGAAAAGGGGCACTCGACTTATAACGTGCAGTTTTAAGAATGATTCTGGGATCAGAAACGATCCTCAGAGTTACCCCAAATGATTTTTCCAATTAAATCTAGAATAGCATTTGTTAGGGAATTGACATTTATCATTCTTGGTCTTAATGCAACTGATAATCATTTCGCTATTTGCACTGCTCGCTCAGATTTGTCAGCACAGTGGTTGCAATGCAAAGTTCTCTTCGGTGACAATATATTTTGTACTTTGACGCCAATAGATTTCAACTTTCAAAGTTACTGGGAGAAGGAACATTCGACCCGTTTCAAAACAGTGACAGCCAAGCCTCCCAACAAGTATAACGTAATTGTTGTAGCCACCTTCGATTGGTGATCATTTTTGTGGTCAGTGGCTTTTAAAATGCCAATATTAATCACGTTATTAAGTTCGCAGGTACGTAAGTAAGCAATTATAAGTAAGTTAGTAAAAAAGAAGCAATCTAAGACCGAACACTCCTCAGACCTATACTCAAGTTCTCTCGATCGATTTTCAAGTTTAACGCGCAAATCGTAATATAAATGAAATCTTTTCACAAGTTATAATTGGCACCGTTGCTTTAAATACCATTTTTCGAGATGAAAGAAAAATAGACTTCAAACACAAATGTGACTTTACAAATCGCCACGATTGTCTGAGCTTAGCTGTCTTCGAGTTTAGCGAGGGCATACCTACTCGAAGTTTGGGCTTACATTGTTGTAAACCTTTGGAGGAATTTTTTGGTTGGGTTTCCTAATATCTGACTAATGGTCTCAGTTAGAAAAACAAACCTAACATCTTGCACGTATTAAACGGGTGAACACGATGTCCCGCTTTTCCACCGGATGTTTAATTAATTTAACTAAACACAAACAAAATACAGCTTACAATCAACTTTTTTTCTGCAGTCTAGTTAACCGTACCTTTCGCTTATAATGCCGTAATTTAAGTAACAATATTTTTACGTTTACTCATTCTATAGAGAGTGAGGATCTTACACTCAGCTGACGGAAGAAGACGCTTGATGTCAACTGTTAAAAAAGTTATCGCAACTATCACGGCTGTGATTGGTAAAGTGTCCACAGACTTACCTACTGGCTGTCGCTTGTTTGTTTTCTTGTGTGAATTTACTGGTGGAAAAAATTGTGATGACCGCAGAGAACCACTATCTCATGAAGTGAGTGTAACATCGTTACTCTTACATTGAAGTCAAGTTGAAAGGTTTGTTTAAAGAAGCAGAGTTAAGGGGGGAACATAAATTTTTGCTTGTGCCACCTACACAAACTACTTAGTTAGATATTAAGCCAATTGCCATCGTGCAACAAGGCCATTCACTAGGCAAAGCCAATTGATTTCTTGAGAATTCAGTGTTCACTCTTTGCCAACGCCCATGTTTTCCATTTTAGCCTCTAAACATCCCTCACTCTGGCTGCCGGCTTTATTTTTCGTCTTTTTCTTCTGTTTCTTCGCCTCTGGTTTCTCGTCAATTGGAGCTGGTTTGACGAATTTAATAAAATCCAAGCCTTCGGGAAGTAAAGGCTTCAGAACAGGGGGGAGAGCGATTCCTTCTTCTGTTTGATAATTCTCTAATAGCGCACAAATGGTTCTCGACACAGCGCACATCGTAGCGTTGAGCATATGAACGTATTCCGTCTAGAGAAAAAAAATAGTCTACATATAAGGCTTGTAAACCATTTTGTAATTGCTACAAAAGGATAACTCTGTAGCCCTAAAACCCTTCCGCCGAGTAGCTCCTATGGAGACTGGGTTTGACCCGTAAAACAGAGGGGAAAAAACAACCACAATTAACTTGTTCACTCTGGCCCCGTTCACACGCACATGTTCTTGTTTGAAAACGGAGACTTTTTCCTCCGGTTTGGCCTTTCGTTCACTCGTATCTAGGGAAAACGGTCACTGCAAAGGCATCTTTTTTCAAAAACGTTCTCAGGTGCGGAGATTTTTAAAAACACTATTTTGCTGCACTAAGGTTTCTGAACAGGATTACGAGACAGTGTTAGATACAGTCTATGCCGCGCACTAGAAAAGTCCACCAGGCAGACAGAAGCATTGAGTTTGTTTCACTCCTAGTATAGCTTCTTACAAGCATTATGCATTGCATGTTTTAAGTTGCGTTTTGCTATGTTAAATGTGTAAGTCGATTATGCAAGAAGACGCAGTGACATAATCAGGTTTCGTCCATTTCCCGTCTTCATAACAGGAGGCACGAAACAATGAACTCGATTTCAACAAGCAAGGCTTCGACGATTTAGGGTTTGACCAGGAAGTACGAGTGCGCGGAGCGAGAACTTTGTCTACCAAATAGTCATCCAAGAAGAGTGAAGAGAGAATTCTAGTCACTGTTGCGTTTTCCTGTGGATTATTAAAAATCATTCAAAAACGCAACATATGAGCGAGGGTATTTTTTTTTTAACGGAGGAAAAAAACACTCTCAAACAAAATCGGATACACGTTGACGGAACCTTGAATGTTCATATTTGTAGAAAGGTCCACCCAGGTAAATCCCCAAACAAATAGTAAGGTGGTTCCAATTTGTCTGAAAATTACAGTGAGGTCAAGTCAAAGGGGTTTTGGGGGCAAAATTTGTTACTTTATTTTGATGTCAACTACCACCATAATAGTAACGCGTATCCTGCAAGATTTTCAGCAACGGGACTGTGAGGACAAAGAAAGAATGTGCATGATTTGGACTCTGGTCAGTTCCTGTAATGGGTAAATACATCTCGGTTCAAATCCGCCAGCAAAACTGGACTCGCACGGATTCCTGTTTGCAAGCAGATTTCTTTCGTCTAATTGGATCTCTCAAAATAATTTAAGTATGAAAGTTATCTGGGGTCCATAACTGTTCCATCAACGGCGCATTTGAGCACTTGGAAGTGTTCAGGAATACTCAAAGTCACACACAACAATTCTGACCGTATGCTGATTGTTTACCTGCGCTCCCATTTTCTTGGTTTGTCCAAAACGAACTTGCAATCTTCTTGCTTGGTAATCCGTGCAGTTTGAGCAAGAAACTAATTCACGGAAAGCACCGCTACCTGGAAACCAAGCTTCCAGATCGTACTTCATGGCGGCTGCATTGTTGAGTTCACCTACAGTTGTGAAAATTAACCGATCAGATTGGGAACAACTTGATTAAACACAGAAACTACAAGTGTTACCTACCAGAAACAATATTTACAATTCTGTAAGGAATTCCTAAAGCTTGATTAAATTCCTCAGCACTTGCAATCATCTCATCAAAAAGTTGCCAAGAAATACCATCATGAGGAGAACAGATAACAAATTGCTCCACCTAACAAAAAAATACATTACATCAAAAAACAAACTGAAATAACTCATTGCTATGAGAGAGGAGGACCTGTTGCCTTGACAATGTTCTGTTCTTTGAAGTAAATATAGCGTTTAATTCAATCACAAAGTTTTTAGTAATACATATCCTCTTGCAAAAATTATTCTGCCTCACACTTTTACATTGTGGTTTTTAAAGGCCTAAAGCTGAAAGCCAAACTTGCGTTTCACAAGATTTTAAGTAAAAGAACACTCTTAATCCTCAATTGTAGATCATCATGATTTATTATCTGGATCAAATGTACCTTTTCAAACTGATGTACCCTAAAGATGCCACGAGTGTCCCTTCCATGAGCCCCTGCTTCTTGTCTGAAGCATGACGAGAATCCAGCATATTTCTTGGGAAGTTCATTTGCAGCCATCCATTCACCTCGATGAAATGCAGCAATTGGCTGTTCACTCGTAGCAATAAGGTATCTTTCTTCATAACCTGTTTCATCTGCACCCTTACCGATAACCTACAAACAAAATCTCAGTCCCTAAACTAGCCTTGTATTATTAGGGCAAAATAGCCTAGGCTAGCCCAGTTTAATTAGGGCAAGTTAATGCTAAAAAGTAATCAATCGTTTATTTAACCAGCCATGTTTTATTTGGAGAAAGAGGCAGCTGTCGGGGGAGAGGGCAGGAGCAGGGATAGGTGAAAAGATAATATTCACTTTCCCACCCCTACCCTGCTCCTTATTTTTACTTGTCACTCACCCCCTTGGTACAAATTTCTTTCTCTCCCTAGCATTCTGCTGCTGTTAAAATCAAGGATGGCTGCCATAATTGTTGCTAAGAAAATACTGAGCTCTAGCTGGCCAAAATTAAGTCTGCATTGCAGGCTATCCCTACACCTTTAAATAGATAAACTCACCATAATACTGTAGAAGTGCAACAGTACATTGTGTTATAAGGTTTGGTCCTAATACCCAGCAAATTAAATTACTATAAACTGGGACGTGTAAGTTTGTTTCTCTCCACATGATTAGTTAAGAAGTCATCTTAGATAAAGAGAGATCAAACAACAATCCTCCTTAGTCCTCTTGGGTGACAGGATGAATATTCATTTGAAGTATTCAAAGTTCATTCCAAACAACATTGTTTTTCTAGGAAAAATTGTACTTAAAAAAGTAAATTGCATTACAGACCTTATACAGCTCTTCATCAAACTGACTTAATTGTGCAACTTCTTGCATAGCTTCCTTCCTCATGAAAAAAGGTGTGTAGAGAGGAACAAAACCTTTCTTGTACAACATCCGTGTTGCCAACTGAATGAGAGCTTGCTCTAAGAATACAAGAGGCCCCTGAAAAACATTGAAAGATAGATTCAGTTTGGATGTTTAAAGGTAAGGATGAAAACACATTCTAAATGCTATTATACTTATTGGAAATAAAATACATTCTAAGCAGAGCTAAACATACAGACAAAACAACAATACACTGTTCATGCACTGTATATAATGAAGAAGGATAAGATTAATGCTTAATTTTAAAGGGAGAGAAAGGGAGATAAATTCAGTAGCACACTGCACAAGTTTACACTGGTAATCCTGTGGAATGTGAGTGCAGCTTAATGGATATACATTTACATCAAAAGAGGTATAAAAAATGACTTCCTTTAAAATTAATATCTGTGGTGAAAACCTGTTATTATCTCATACTTTCAGTACATTTCTATAACATGTCACAAAGTTAATGTTTTGCAGAATTCAATAAGAAAAATATTTGATAAAGTGATGTGCACTTATAACAATGTAAGGAATGTTTAACTTTAAAGGAAAATTTATCCTTATGGGGGATAATGTCAACCTTGAGAAAATAGCCTCTGCTGCCTGCCACAGATGCACCTCTCTCAGTGTCAACTCCATCTACCATATAAGCCAGATCCACATGAGAGTATTTCTTCCTGATAGAACTGTCACCCCAAGTTCTTTCAACCTTGTTGTCATCCTGAAACACAAAAAAAATAACTAAATATCAAAATAGAGTAAAAAATTTTCAAGAAAAAGAAAGTTCTTAGTGAAGTTATTGACAGAGAAGTATTGCTGTCAAACAGCAAAACAAATAAAAACATACAGAATCCTTTCAGCCTTTTTTAAGTCAAAAAGCCAACATATCATAGCTAACTTATGCTCAATGATTTTCCCTGTGCTCTTTCAAGCTTCATTTACTTTAGCAACAATTGTTGAGTGTATGAACATTTTTCTGCCCTTTAATATCAAAATGTAATCAACCCAAGACAAAATACATGCATTAAATTTTGACTTTCAAAGTCAGGGAGGTAACAATCCTGCAATGTCGGGGGACTTTCAGAACCTAAGTCCTCTTTTTCTCTTTTCATTTATTCAGTTTAGTATCCACTGGAATCAAAAGAGTCAAACAAAAGGCAATGTAGCTTCTCCAAGGTACTGTCTTCTGTCAAGTCACTTGAAAGCAATGTTTTAACTATACAATAGAAGTATTGGAGATAAAGAAAATTCAACACCCTGTTCACTGCCTAATGTCTGTAGTCTCCCTGCTAAGAAAATGTTTGTCAACTTTGCTCTGTACATAGCCACCAAACTATCTGATGTCTACATTCTTGACAGACATTCTCACTAATACACTCTGGTTTCCAGCTCAGCACCAAAAATCCAAAGCAGATCAATGTCCAAACATTGAAAATATTAAATTTACATACCTCATCGTTACTAATAGGAACTGACTCATGCAAAAGATTGCCAACTTCGAATAACTTCTCATTCCTTAGTTGTTCCACCTTCCCAACTTCTTCATTGCATTTGGCCATATTTTCATCAATGAGTGTTCGTACACCCTTGATCTGGGTAACTGTTAAGTCCTGTTGAAGAAAACAAAATTGATGGTGAAATTTTCAATTATTAATGTTAAGCTTTCTCATGTGGCTTCCTAAGCAGACATAATAAAAATTAGTATGAATCTTACCAACTCGAAATCCTTCTAGAAATGAAAATTAGGTTGAGTAAGCAGAAGTTAGAGTTGCCAGAGTTGATTGGTATTGTATTTTAATTATCCTGTTAATCCTGGGATTAATCCAGGAATCATGTTTTTATCATTCTTGCACAATCAACAGTCATTTTCATGTATCTAGTTAGTTATATGAGAGCTTTTTTATATGAATGTTCAGTTTGGGAAGTTTACCTAAATGTATTAGGATTGAGATGTGTCAATCAACTATGTTGTAACACATTGACATTTATCAACCAACCTTTTTGCTTAATATTTGAGTTATCAGGATAAATTTGGGCGAGCAGAAAGTAAAATTGGTTTGAGTTAACAGGGTGTTCGAGTTAACTGAGGTCAAGTCAGCTGATACAAATGACTGGAAAATCGGGTCAACTTGAAGGAAATTCAGATTTTGTTTAGGTCAGCAGGGGATTTGAATGAACTAGGAATTGTTGGCTTCTACTGTACGAAGCAAAAAAAATCCACCACACCTTCCATTCCATACTTGGGTAAAAATGAACCTTAGCCTATGATAGGCTGACTATTTACACCAGCATGTTTCCAAAGATCATGGAGAAAGTAAGACCCTTAGAGTTATCATTACCTTCAAAGATGATATGAATTTATTTCTCAGGAACCTTTCTGAACATTTTTAGTCAGGGATCACACCAAGACTTAGGAAATTATCTTTACCTAAAGTGAAGACCTAAAAATGAAAGTTTACCTCTAACATGTCTGGAGTAATTACTTCCAATGCATCCACTATACTTTGAGGTAGTGCATCACTGTCACCAACAGGTTCTTTTCGCTGAAAACAATCATCATTATCATCATTTTCATCATCACATATCAGAAACATTAATTTAGCTTAAGGTGGAGAAATTATTTTTAATAACTTTTTACAAAATTAAAAACTTTAAGATCCCTATCCAAAAAAAGTGAATGAATATACAAATGAATAAAGGGGTAAATTTCTAAAGAAACTGTGGTGCTGCGTCGGTGGGAGAGTATAGCAGGTAATTTAATGTTAACAACTGGGTTGAAAACGTAAATTAGCCACCGTAAAGAGTAAAAAAGCTGACGTTTCGAGCGTTAGCCCTTCGTCAGAGCGATTGACAAAGGGCTAACGCTCGAAACGTCAGCTTTTTTACTCTTTACGGTGGCTAATTTACGTTTTCAACCCAGTTGTTAACACTAAATTACCTGATTGAATATACACTCTAGGAAAAGTGCAAAACAGGGACATTGGAGTATTGCTCTCTCTCTATTTCGTTAATAAGCATTAAAAATGGTATGCAAGACAATATCATGGAAGTGAAAACATTATTTTCTCTTGATCACATAAAATTGTTCTGTTTTGCAACTCCCTCTCCTTTGTTCAAGGTTGTACTCAAGAAAAGAAAGTCTACTGTAACAAATACGATGTTGCTTAAGGGAGGTAAATTGGTAACAAAAGGGTGAATGGTGTAATCATCCCAACAACGATATCAACAGGAAGTGTCTTAGTCTCTTTGGTGTTGTTTGTTATTTGCTGCAGAGAAGAACATATTTAGATGTTAGTTTATGGTCAGAAAATTGTTTTGCATCCGCCTGAAAAAGTATGGCTAGGATCCTCAAGCTCGAGGTTCTGTATTTATAAGCAACCACAATTTTACAAAGAAGAAGTGCATTGAGTTAAGTAGGTGAGGTATTAAAGTGGTTAGAGAACAAAACTGTCACGTAGACAAACAAAATACGGACCTTACACGTGTACATAGATACTGATAAAAAAAGCTGAATTTGTATTGCAGAGGGGGATGTTGCTTCAAGTTTAATTTACCTTCATCTTTTCGCCGATCTGCTTACTGCATACATTCTTGAGTTTATTCCAGTTATCAGCAGAGAATCGTACTATTTAAAAATAAAATTATAATTTAAAGTTTCTGTTCGTAAATTGCAGTCTGACATGAATAATGAATACACGGTGTCATAACATACATTTCCTCCATTTTGCATCCGCTTCAACTACTTGATCTACCAAGGTGGTGTCCTTATATCGCTTGCTCTGATTTTCACGAATTTTTTCCGGGTTACCTCCTTTGTCAGCCCTGTAAAGATCTAGATCCAGAACCATTTTGGGAAAGGAATCAGAAGAAGAATACCTTGGATACGTTGATATTATCAAGAAACACCTAAGCTGATGCAATTCTCGCAAAGCGATCCTCATGCTCGAGAATCATTGGCAGCGTAAAGCCTGGGTCCAATGGCTCAATCGATACTTCATGTTAAGTCATGATGTGTTCCCATTAGCAGGTCATGATCACGACATGTTAATTTGCCGTTTGCGTTTTGCCACACCAAAATGTGCCTCTAATGAAAAGTGCTAATTAGAAAAATCGTGCGCGCTAAAAACCCGTGTAGTTAGACGAGCCATTCAGGGAAGAGCTCAATAACCCACGACGAACGACTACGACAAAAATTGATATTTTGTTACATCCCTATCAGTTTCTTTTTGTACTCATCGCGAGGCCCTTCTGTATTTTATCGTGGATGAAAACATGGGATAACCCAGATATTAATTTGCCGTTTGCGTTTACCATAACAAAACGTGCCTTTAATGAATGGTGCTAATTGGAAAAATCGTGCGCGCTAAAAACCCGTGCAGTTAGACGAGCCACTCAGGGATGAGCGCAATAACCCACGTGCACGCATAAGTTTTAAACGGCGCACTTTTTGAAATTATCACAGCTTAGAGAAATTCTACCTCAGTGACTTTCTTGTCACAGTTTTAGCCCTGACACAGCGTTTTCTCCTTTGAAAGCCCTCTTTCGTTTCTCATTTTGTCAAACTTAACATCACGTATCATTTCTGGCAGCGGACGGAAGCAAGTAAGTGTTTATCGACGCTTGTACAAGCAAGTAAAACTGTTTATCTACAAACTCAAGAGGGGTTTTAGGTCGAAGCTTCGTTTTATTAAATCCTTTAATTCTTTTCAGTCGCTCGTATTTCTGCCCAGAAGCTGTCAATTACTTAGCGGTAGAAATTCTATTACGTATTTTTCTTTTGCAAAATCGGCTTCGTTGAAATTCTTCTTTGAAACTGTTGTCGCGCGGAGGACCATTTCTAATCTTTCATCTTCTTTGCTAAGATTCCGCGTTAACAATGTGGCGAAAGCGTGGTTCGTGCTCTTAAATTTTAACTGGTTGCGAGTTTGAAGCGAAACTCGGTGTCAAATATTAATTTTTATAGTGAGTATATCTAAAGCTTGTTCATAGAGGCATTAGTTTCGAACATTGTGCGTAATATACAGATAACGAGTGAATTAAGGAAATATTTCAATTGCCTTCCTGAGCAGACTTTAAGAATTCCCTTCGTCTCAACCCTTAAATTCCTCTTTGGCTGCTTAACATTTCTTTCCAATTAGTTACAGGAATTTGATACCAGATCAAGATAACAACATCTACGAGATAAATTTGAATATTCTCATTACCTGTTTGCTGGATAATGTATAAATGATATAGGGAGAAGTTACATGTTCATCACTTCTTAGCGTTCAAGAGTTAACCGCTCGTTAAGAAAAGTGAAAAATTAGGCTCACACTTGTCGTTTTTTCTTTTTAATCGAAACATCATCTGAATAAAATTTCAGTAATACGCTTTTTACTCAAAAGTTTGTAAATCTTCTGATAATTTAGACGAAAAGCCTCTTTTCCAAAACAAGTTTTGATTTTCGGGCATTAAAGACAAAAAGCCCTTTTATTATCGCAGTTGTTTTTTATGAATTCAAATCTTGTTTACACGATTGGCTGTTATCGCCACTATTTGCATAAGATTTCATTTGTCTGTTTGTTTGCTTGCTCGCTGAGCTTGAAATGAAGCGATACTCTGCAAATGTTTTAATATAATTCTACAATAAGATTCTCCAAATTTCGCAAGGAAAATTAAAATAAGCCTCGATGTTTACTCGGCATGACTCCAGATGAAACTGATATTTGGCAATTTGAAGGGGGTTTCGTTCTCAGACACTAGTCACTTTTTTAGTAATCTTAAAAACCTAGGAATTACTATCATTTTATTTCTCGTTACAATATCACCCCTAATCACAAATTAAGGTCACACACAAGAATAAAGGAACTAATCACCAACAAACGAAGCTCATGACAGTCGAACACATTATCCTTAGAAATGTATAGAGACCAGTACTGAGAATAAAAACACTGGTGTAAAGCTGTGAAGGGTTTAGGAGTGACTCGAATTAAACAGTTTTTTTCCAATCTTGTTACTCCCGCGGGTAACTCTGGAAAAATGATCTAAATTTATTGCGTGTTGACCAATCAAGTTTTGCAATGTTTCAGTAAAAAGTGGTGGATAGAAAATCCCTATTCAGTTCTTCTGACATGTGTGATGGTTGCGAACTCAGAATATGATTATTTTGCAATGTTTTCCCTTCCACAATGGGCCATGATGTTTTGCCGTATTATTAATTTCACTTAAATATCTACAATATCTTTCTCATTTAGGCTAATACGACACACTCCAGTCCAAACACTGCTCAGTCCAGTTAGTCCAGTTCACTTCATTTCAGCGGAGTTCAGTTCATTGTGCATTTAGTCCAAAGCTCAGCGTCCAGTTCCATGCAGTCCAGTACGGCCCAGTCCAGACCGCAGCATTCTTTTCCAAGTGGTCCAGTCCATCATCACAAGACAAGTGCTGACTCTCGTTACCAGTGTAACTCGTATATGGACGGGAAAGCATGGTGAAGAAAAAGGGCAACGCTCCACTGGGTTTTCTCTTCTCTTCCTCTCTCCATACGTGGAGGCTGGAAATAGATCAGTCGGAAGACGCTGATGTCTGACCGGTTAGTAAGATTCTTTGAGGGTTGGGATGAAGAGGGGGGTTGATAAATAGTGCGCTGGTCAAAACATAAAATCCAAATTGTACTAGAAGTTGTCATACTTATGATTCGGCTCAAAGTAGTTAAAGTAAAAACTTTAGCCAGCTTAGTTAGCGGGTCCCTTTGAGGTTGGGCGAGGTCCTCCCTCCAAATTTTTTTCTTTAGATTTTTTCTTTCAATCAAACACTGTTCGGCATATTTTCGGTTTGGATCGTTTCTTCTTCGTCGCTTCTTTGGCTTGCACAATATCGGCTTCGTTTATACTTCGGCTCTTCATCAACAGGTCTTTCGGTATTTATCAGCTGCTCATCGACTTGAGCGCACGCCTTCCCCCATACTTGCTTCGACTGCGGCCAATTACATTTTCAGTTTTACTTGATCGAAGGATCTCTAACACGGTGATCGAGTAAGACTGTTTAGCATTAAAAAAAGTTTGGCTCGAAGGTTCAACTAGATTTTCACGTTGTTATAGGAGATTCGATTTAAGCAATTCAGCTATGACAGCTAATTAGAATTGTGAATTAGCCTTTGAGAAAAGATTTTGCATGTATTGATAAAAATTGTGATCCTGTTGCTTCCGGAGTTCGGCTTCACTTTCGGTTCGAATTTCACATCGGCTTTTCGTTCGGCCTTTCGGAAATTGTTCGGATTTTCAGTTCGGAAGACAAAGGCAATGTGAGCGACTGTAAGTTGTTAGCAAGTTGATATAAAAACTAAAGCACCGTCTGAGACACTATGGGTGTTCAAATAATCGGGATGTCGATATTATTGACACGGAATATTCGGAGTTTAGTGGACGCAAAATTTTTCGTCTAGGGTTCGCGTCCTCTCCTGCTGGGTTCTTTGGAGTAATTTTAAAAAATCTAAGTTAATTTGTTGATGTAATATGGTAATAGAAAATAGAATGCCAAACCCGATTGTCTCTGTGTTCTTTTCTTTATTTTTGGGGTACACAAATTTATATGATATATTTTTCGCGGCGCCCTGTGTAAATATCTGTCTCAAGAATTGAGTTAAAATACGAGCGTCTCTAGTTTTAAATCTTACTAACACAATCTCAACTGCAGGAGCTGTATACTGGCCTATTTTCGGAGGCTTGAATTGTCAATTTCGGGACATTTGCTCGAATCGTGAACTGGATTGTTTTAATGACTTTCCAATCTGCCAATGAAAAAGCCTCGGAAGCAAAGTCACCTTAGTGCCAACTGTGCGTTCGCCCATTTTCGGAGGGTTTGGTAGTTGTCTTACGTTTAACTGAAGTCATCCATTGTCGAGTGCAAACTGTTCTTGCGGCTTTCAGGTGAAGATTTCAAAACTTCGCTCTGTCCATTTTCGGGGACTCGCTAAAACTTTTTAACATTTTTACTTTGAATTTCCCATATCTGCGTCTCGACATGAGCCCGTTTTCAGGGGCTGTGGATCACTGATATGGTAAGTAAGTAATTCTTGTAATTTTGGGATATTGATCTGTTTAAGATGGGTTTGTTTGCTTTATAATTTAATAAGAGTAAACCTAATAATTTGAAGTAAACAAAAACAATTGACCAATAAAAGATGAATTTAGGAAATAAAACGTATATTAATAACTTATAACATTGATAAATTCTTGATGAACTAAATAAATGATGAATAAATAGGGAGATGAATAAATATATAAATAAGTTGATAAATGAATAAATTGATAAATAAATACAAATTTATTGTATGGTCCATGTATTAACAATTTTCTTTGCAGAATATTTAAATACAGAACCATGATGTCTTAAAAGTTTCCAAGTATTTTTTTCTCACAAGACTTAGTTTTCCCAAGACACCAGCTGACCTTTAAAAAGACACAAGCAATCACATAGTCGCTAGTAATTCATGGCTGAATTTGTAACACTGGGATATCACTAGAGCAGGACTGGAATGGATAATCATAACAACAAGCTGAGCAACAGTTGCGTGGAGAATCCAAAGCTAAGACAACCACAGGTACGTTCAATTTCTGAGTAATGGATTAGCTAGTTGAAGCGGATTGTCTTCCTTTAACAAAAGTACCATATAGTATAGTATTGGATTTAAAGTTGTCTCTAGTTTGCAAGAAAGAATGTAAAAGAAAAGCGGACATTTTTTGATTTTAGAGCTTAGAAAATTGAATTGCTGAAGTTCAAGATAAACCCATTGTCGAGGGCTGTGCATCTGGAAACGTGCAATGTAGTTTTGTGCAGATCAGTCCAATGAAGTGCAATGGACTACAATACTGTATGGTGCTTTCCAGTTTAATCCAGGGTACTGCAGCGTGATGCATTCGGAGGAAGTCAAGCGCAGCCTAAGACAGTCCAGCCTAATGAAGTGCCG